TTTAAATTATTTTTATTTTAAAATACGTTTTATATTTCCAACAGTCACTACTCCAAAGCCTCTCATTATTTTTAATTACATTGCCTTGTTTCTAGTGGTTTGTTTTCTGTGTTCTGGAAAATTAGCAAATGGAAGTTGTATATATACAATGCTTGCAAATTTTTTGGATAAACAAATTTGGGAAATGATCCATTCCTCCAAGGTTTTCTTTGCGGGAAACTCTGTGTTAATGGCATATAGTCACAGGTTCAATAAGTAGATGAGTGGTTCCTGTGGGTTGACAGGGACCATGTTTGCTGAATGTGTAAATGTCATCGTTTCTTTTCCAGAGTTCATTCCATATGTGTTTCAAGTGATGTCCCTACTTCTGGAAATGCATAAAAATGAAATCCCATCGTCCTACATGGCGTTGTTTCCTCATCTACTTCAGCCAGTGTTATGGGAGAGGACAGGGAACATTCCCCCTTTGGTCCGACTCCTGCAGGCTTATTTAGAGCGGGGTGCCAATACAATAGCAAGCGCTGCTGCTGACAAAATTGTAAGTTGGATTGATTCAGTCACAATGTAGGCCTCTGGGCATGTCGATTTAAGATGAAAAATTAGAAGGAGCTCTTTCCTGTAGTGAATACCTGGATTTGTGCAGAATTTATGCTGGCACTTTAAATAAATAGTGCTCATGTAGGAAGATGACTTTCCAAGACACATTTTTTTGTGAACGCAGGCTTTTTGGATGCTTTGCCATTATATGGTAAGATAAATCCTTAGACTGTCATGCTTTTGTCAATTAAGATGTAAAATTCCTGCACTTGGTCCTTGCCATCAGGTAGATTTCCACAATTTTCCTGTCTCGTTTGCCTCATTTTGAACACTGTGGACCAGGAAAATTCACAGGTTCATTCCAGACGAGTGAGGAGAAGCCGAGGTGTTGGGAGATCTGAGGGTTAGTGAATGCAGAGGGAGATTTATTCTGCATACTTGGCTTCTGTTATTTCTGCTGCGTGATCTGCTGTAGTCAGACCCGATTAGGCAATGCCATCGGTGAAGCAGACGTGCATGTTGAAATTGGCTTTGGTGTTCATTTGATCAAGGTTAATCTCGATGCTCAAAGGAACATCACTTGGTCCTGATAGAAATCTCCTCCTTGTCCTTACCCGCAGAAGCGGAATCCTGGTTTAGGTTATGAAAGCTTTGCCTTGGTGTGTGTCTGAGATGGTAAGGGCCAACTTTCTGGTAGGTCACATGTGAAGAACTGTTGTATAGAGTTTTATGTTTGCTTTGCTTACAGCCTGGATTGTTAGGAGTGTTCCAGAAGTTGATTGCCTCTAAAGCTAATGACCATCAAGGATTCTATCTTCTCAACAGTATTATAGAGCATATGCCTCCGTGAGTATGAGTTGAGATTACATTCTAAACCGATTTCTGTGACCTTTAATATCTGGGATGTTTGTACGCTTCATAGTTAATGTTCACCTGAAAAATGTCACCTTTGCAAGTAAAATAGAATTGAACAATTCTGTACATATTTTCTGTGAAGTGACACTAATAAAATCCTGGTGTGGATTGAGTAACTATTCTTTTTAAATTTCCAGTGAGTCAGTTGACCAGTACAGGAAACAGATCTTCATTCTGCTATTCCAAAGACTTCAAAATTCCAAAACAACAAAATTTATTAAAAGTAAGTTCCTTGCTACATGAAAAGCTTCGGTGGTGGTGATGCCAACAGTTTAGAACATGCAGCTGGACTGAATTAAGTATCTTATCATGTCTTGGTGTTCAGCAGATGAGGGGATACAAGTGACTCGGCAGCAGTGACTTGCTTCAAATTACTTTGTAATCAAGGGTGGCAGGGAGTGCAGTTGTCACAGCAGGTGACAGTTTCCTGAAAACTGAAGGAATGGAACTAAAGCAGGGAAAAGAACTTGTGTATTCTTCTTACTTTCTTACTCTGTGTGATGTCATTATCGGAAAGTGTCTCCATTTAATCCTCAGCTAACAACCAGCAAAGTTTCACTTTCTCAGAATGCAGTAATTAATACTGACCACACTTCTTTTACTACATGTAGTTGTGTGTTATAACTGTTAAATATTGTATACATCTGTGTCATGCTGCCTTAATATGACTGAAGTTACTGATAAGGTCTTATGTTAAACTAGGAAAGCTGTGATAAATTATTGAAATATATATTTTGGTTATTTCTGCTGTAACAGGTTGATTATTGTCTTACTGATTAAATTATTTTAATCATACTATCACTGCACAAATTATGCAATTTCTATTACTTAATCCTATAAAATCTGATTAATGCTACCTGATAGGAGCCAAACGGATAGGATTGCTTATAATGGTCTTCCACAACCCAAATTTAAGTGGTGCTTTTAATGCAATTGCATCTGTGCTCTGGCACAAAGGCCATGCAAAGGGGTTCACAACTGATCTGAAAAACCACATTGCATAAAGTTTTTGGCTAAGAGCGTTGAAGAGTTGTTTTGTTCCTTGATCTGAATAATGTGCAAGTAGCTTTTTCGAATGCTTCAGCACTGCTGTCAGGGCAAAAAGGACTGAATCTTTTCTTAGTTATTTTACCGCCGTGTTTTAGTGTGGTGCAGAACGTGTAAAGATCAGTTTTTAGGCAGACTTCAAGGCAGCGAGTTCACATACGTCACTAGAACGGGACATTTATAAAGACTGCCACTTCCATCCCCTTGAAAAACTTGTTGGAATGTATTTTGCTGACTCTAAAGCTATTCTTTTGCTTTGATATTGAGTTATAATTTGACCTTTTTCTTGTTACAGGTTTCCTAGTCTTCATTAACTTGTACTGCATAAAATATGGGGCATTAGCTCTGCAGGAAATATTTGACAGCATACAGCCAAAGTTAGTGTGATTTTTATTTATTTATTTATTTAAGACTGCTGTGTAACGTGTATCTTTTAGAGTAGAAATAGTTGTCTCCTTTAGCTAAAATCGCAAACTGCATTCATCACTAATTTGACTAGCCAGACGTTTCTTCCAACACAGTTGATTTACTTGTCTAGGATTTTTCTTTTTCTGACTTTCTGCTCACAGTCCCTTGTCGATAGTTCCAGAACTAATCTCCTAAGCAGATCATTAAATGGAAGGAGCGATGTTTTTATTCTCCCTTTGTGGAGAGCTTGTACGCTTAAATTTTTACAGGGCATCTACTGCAACAGGGCAGCATCATAACAAGTTACCTGGTTTTCTGTTTTTCCTAGTTCTTCATATTGTTTCTGGTTTTCTTTCCTCACCATAAGGCTTTCTAATGCTTTTTCTTTTAATGTCATAATAGGATGTTTGGAATGGTTTTGGAGAAAATTATAATTCCTGAAATCCAGAAAGTGTCTGGACAAGTTGAAAAGAAAATCTGTGCTGTTGGCATTACGAAAATATTGACAGAATGTCCTCCTATGATGGACACTGAATACACCAAGCTGTGGTATGTAGAACGCTTCTTAAAGTTCTGATAGGGAGGGTCTTGGATTTCTTCTTTCTATCTGAGCTATCATCAAAATACGTTCTGCACATCGACTCCATTGTGACTTCTTCAGGCCTGCTGCTGTTATGGCACTGACTTTCAGGCTTTTCATACCACTTCCTTTTCTCAGCAAATAAAACTGTTTTCAAAGCAGATACCAGAACTAGTTTGAGATTTTTCATGATGGAGATGGCACTGATGGGAGTGGCTAGGACTGCTTTTAGAAAATACACTACTTCCTATTAGCTTCTGTCCTTTCTGAAAAGCTAAGCCCAGTTTTGACTTTTTCAGGAGACCTGAGCATAGGCACTTACAACCTGATAGACTGTAAGATCTTAGCTTGACAGCAGAGTGCTGGGGGAACCAACAGTCCTCTCTCTGGGGAAATGGTAAGCCAGTCTAGGATGTCAGGTAGCCTGAATTCGATGGCAATAACTGGACCCCTGAAGTAGAACTACTTTTTTTTATGTACTTAGAGAAAAGTCATGATCTGGAGAAGAATTCCTTTTCTTAGGTATGTGTCATGAAAATTTGGCCTGATTAAAAGATAAATACGTTGTTTGTGCTTTCAGTATGAGCACCTACTACACAAATCCACCATTTCTTAAATCCAGCTTAGCTTGGGCACTTATAATTTCAGTAGCTAAACAAGTGCCTGAAAGGGCATAGTTGTAAAGGGGTCTGAGTAATTTGAACATTCTTGTAAAATATACCACGTCATAATGTGTTTTAAGCACTCCAGTTTTATCCTCCCCTCTTCACATATAGGACTCCTTTGCTGCAGGCCCTCATTGGCCTCTTTGAACTGCCTGAGGATGACACTATCCCTGATGAAGAACACTTCATTGACATAGAAGATACTCCAGGATATCAGACTGCATTCTCTCAGCTAGCCTTTGCTGGAAAAAAAGAACATGATCCTGTAGGTCAGATGGTGAACAATCCTAGAATCCATCTGGCACAGTCTCTTCACAAACTGTCTACAGCATGCCCAGGCAGGGTAAGTGATACTCACACGTGACGTGCTAATGCTAAATTCTGCAGGGAGGAAATGCTTTTTTGATAATGGCTCTCTTGCTAATGTTTGATACTCAGCAAAGTGAAGTATGTCATAACCAGAATGCTAAGCATTGCTTGCTTTTACCCTCTAGTGGAACAGAGCTTTTGTAAGGTGGGTTTTTTTTTTCCCCTGGTTACCTTAGAAAGGCCATATTTTCACATGGCATATTTGAACTTATTGCTAAATTAAGCAGTTTCATAAATGAAAATTTACCCACTTACAGGTATAGAGCTAATAGTTGTCTCCAGTTCAGTTGTATGTACTCGGGAAATCTTGGGCAACTCATGCTAAGTTTCAGCAAGTTTACGGTTAACTATTGTAACCCATAGTGTCTTTGTTTTGTGCGAGACTTTGGTAAGTAAAGACTGCCTGAGAGATCAGGTGCATTCGGGTACCTGCTTTAATAACTGAAGGTTTTCTCTGCTCTTCCTTCATGCTTGATTCAGATAAGTAGTTCGTAAAACTGTCAGCATCAGGAATTGTAATTCCAGCAGCTGCTTTCACAGTGCAAAACTGCTGCTCTCCGTCTCTTGTTTGACTCTGTACCATATGTTGACGCAGTGATTAACGGGATAAAGCAGCACCTTCACGTGTACACACACTGACACTTCTGCTCTGTCGTATGTTTTAAGGTTCCATCCATGCTGAGTACTAGTCTGAATGCAGAAGCGTTGCAGTATCTCCAAGGATACCTCCAAGCTGCAAGTGTGACACTGCTCTGAATTGCATATATTCCACAAGCAAGATCAAAAGCTGTTTTGTTATACGGAAGGTTGACACTGACTTTTTTTTTTTTTTTAATAGCGGAGCTCAGACAAAATGAAAGATGCTACTCGAAAATGTATTGCAGAATCCATCTTGTAAAAGATAAATGTGGCTTTAAGCAGAAACTGAAAGAATCTGGTGGTTTGTGTACTCATAGATAAAAGGTGGCGAACTTCCATTCCCAGCTTAATTTCAAAGGGAATAGTCATAGCGGTTTGTTATGGGATTTATTTGAAATCAGCATCTGCAGTGTTCAGATAACATTCTGAGATGTGTGGAGAGCACTGGCTGTAGAAACTCACTTCGGTCACTAAAATTCCTTTTCATTTTGATGTTGTCCTTTGTATTTCTTTTGTCTTTCCTTAAACTTTATCTAAATTGTGAATAAATAAGAAGTACTTGTTTAAAATGCCTGTCACTCTGCGCTTACTGTTTTAGAAGAATTAGTTGGTTTAAAAAAGATAATGTTTTAACCTTAGGATAGAACAGTGGGACCATGAGGGTTTTTCTTTATCTGAAGGAATAGTTTAAATTCATTGTAGGATCATACAGAGCAAATCTAAAACTTCTGCAGAAGATCCGAAGCCATTATCACTCTTGATACTCATCAAGAGGTGCACCCCTTCTCGTTGAACAAGACATCAGTGTGGTGCAGTAGAGCAGGTAACACACTCTCCTAGAGCGGGTGTCAGTCTCCAAGTGGATTTTCAGTGATGTAGTTATTAAAACTGGAGCAGTGATCTTAGAGTTAAACTTAACTCAGACATTCTCCCTGTCTCCTCATCAATATACTGAGTAGGCTTGGTAGCCTGGAATTCAACGTGCACCAGTTTACCTTGCAGTTACGGCTGTTGAAGTGACCAGTTAAATGCCTGGGTCTGGCTGTGTTCTCAGATGGCCTAGGCACCAAACTGCTACACCATAGGCGCTCAGAGCACTGGTACTGCAGGGCTACAAATAAATCCGTTGTGGAGACTGAAAAATGCCTGAGTAAGAGTCAAGTCTCAGACTTCCATGACGTTAAGCAATGTCGTGCACGACTTTGGGGTTTTTTTTAGATACTTGTCCACAGAAATTCTGCAGATGACTTGAAATCATGTGTTTCTGTAGTTAGAATGCCTGTTGAAGTTGGGCGTAGTATCAGAAAAGTTGCTGAATTTACTGAGGGTGACACGGGGCAGAATCAGCTGTCTGGTGGTTCTTCCTTAATATCTGTGGCTGGCACACGAGAGTGCGTGCTGGCCATCTCTCTCACTACATAAAAAATGAGTAGCTTGTTAGACAATGGATTTAAACTACTAAGTGCCTAAAAAATGTACGAAAAGAGTCAGCATCAACAGGTTTTCTTGAATCTGGTCTGTAATGCAGTGTCAAACCCTCTTTGTTCATAGGAATGAAGTGAAGGCAGTTCTCAAGAGTGAAATACAGTGGTGATAAAGAACAGCATCTGCCTTACCGCTGATGAGAGAGCCTGTGATGTGCGGCATAAGTCTCCCGGAGCAGGCTGAATTTCAATAGACAGGCTGAAACCCCGTGGGAGATGTGTGACATTTGCAAGGAGCCGAGTGCCTACCTCGAATGTCAGTGTTAATTGAGCTGTGCTCGTTCACAACCTGCAAGCCAAAAGGATACTCCGTGTCTGCTGTGCAGCTTTGTCTTTTTCCTTCGACAATAGGGAGAACGATTCTACAGAGAACTTGCAGACCTCTTTTTCCTGTCAGCCTCAAAGAACCAAACTTAAATGGGTACCGGTGGCCACGTAACAGCAGTTTGACGCACCTCTGCAGCTGTTGAAGTAGGCAGGCGGCACGTGGTTGGTAGCTGACCTTGTGCTGAAACAGGGTTCTCCAGCTGTGCAGTAGTGAGGGTTCATGGTATTAGACCATCTTTGTTCTGTGGTTCTAAGCAAGGTCGCTTTAGGGGACAGGTCGCTGCAATACCTAAGTGAACAGACGTTCCTTGTCTTACCGGTACCAACTGTAGATGGAGCTGGGCAGAATTACAGCAGAGAGCCAGAACCTTTTTGAGAGGTAGCCAACGAGAAACTGGCTCCTCTGAATGGGAAATTATCAGTTAATCTGAATGCTCACTGTCTGGCACATCCTGCAGCGCGCGACTTCCTGTTGGACAGATACTCCATGTGAGTAGGAGCCTAAGTGGCTTCAACAAATACTAGTGGCGTAGTTGTCCTTCAGCTCACTCAGAGTTGAGTAACTTGGACTTAGGAGACATGGCTGTGGCAGTGTCAGTGACGTGTTACTTGGTGCTGGCGTATCCTGCAGGTGTCCTAAGGCATGCACGTGTTTATATACGCACTGCTCTTCCAGGGAAATGAACTTTTCAGGTGTAGTCTAGGCAAACCTTACCGGCAGTGCCCTTGCCTTCGTTTAGGTGGAGACCTTATTGCTGCTTTTGACAGCTCCCCTCAGCACAGGGTTCCAACTAGACTTATCTGTTGAGTTCAGTGAAAACTGATACAAGCAATGGTGTAACAGCTTTCGCAGGATTGGTGGAACTTCCATAGGCCACCCTTCGGCGTACTCCCTGTTAAACAGGCAAATGCCGGTTTCTTAAGAAAGCTCAGGCTGGAACCACCGGGTACAAATGGATCTTCGGAGGATTTGGGAGCATCTAACTCTGTGTTGGACAATTAACCCCTGCCCGTCACCGGACAGCCTCTTCTGCAACACTTCTGAAAAGAAGTAGCAAATTCTCCCTTGCAACTGATAGCAGATTATTCAGATTCAAGGGGAAAAAGATTACTTGCTCCTTTTTAAGGATGAAATGGGTAGAGGGATGCCTGTGTTGGGATCTCTGACACCACAAAACTTTGATCTGCTGTCCTTTTTGGAGCCTGCTGACTGACTCGTGGTTGTCAGCTTCTAAACGACATTCTGAGGCTTTCGGCGCAGAAGAAATACCTTCGTGTTGGGCGGGGGGAATAAAAATCAGAAAAATCCTAGTGCCATGCTCAGGACTAGCACACGCCCTCGTTTCCTTGGGCTGTGAATGGGCCATGGTCCTATCCACGTTCCTGCGAGGTTGGCGGCACATAGTAAAGCTCCAATTCTCCGTTTTGACGTACGAGTGTGTGCGAAGGTAAGAGTCATCCTCTCCATGAGCCAGACAGTTCATCCTTAACTTCTCTGATGAGGCCAGAGCAGATTCCTCTTCTCAGCTGACTTCTAAAACTTGGGTTTCTCTGGGATCTTCAGATTCCTCTTCTCAGCTGACTTCTGCTTCCAGAAAACTTGGGTTTCTCTGGGATCTGGCTTGAACGTGCCTCGTCAGGCTGCGTTTCTTCGACTGCTGCGTGTACTTGATTCTCGTGCCGTGGCCTTCCCACGAGAACAGCCTTGGAGAGCCCTGGCGCTGTCGGAAGGGATAGGCCGGATTAAAGCTGTCGGAGCATGTCTTTGCACTGTCACCAGCACGAGTGAGTCGTGGGGCAGCCTGCGAGACCCAGAGATGGTCACAGCAAGCTGCTCACAGCTCTTCCCCCTTCCCTGCAGCTCACTCGTTCTGGTACAGAAAAGCTGTATTTGGTGCTGTAACCTCACCTGACACACGGAGCTGCCTGCCGGACAGCACGCCGTAGCTCACGGCAAGCTAATTTGGGTACAGCTACACCCCCTGCTCCAGGGTGCCTTGGCGCTTCCCTCATCCCAGAGCTCCCCCGTGTCAAACCTTTGGGTTGTCTTCAAGCAGCTTAATCCTTTCTCCGTAGAAAAATCGTTCTTTGTACCTGTCGCCTGTCCTGCGGGTTCCCGCAACAAACCAAAGGTGAGAGGAGGTCGTGAGTGGTGTCGCAGCCCTCGGCAGGAGTATCACAAAGACCTTTTCTTCTGCTTCAGGCATTTGCCCTTAAAATTGTGCAGCTGGTAATTGACAAAGAGACGCTCCAGGCTTGACTTCTCTGAAAATTTAAATCTCTCTCTAAATCTAGCTGGCTATCAGAAAGTAGGATAAATGCTTTCTTTTCCCTCGGCTTTCTACCCTGCTTGTTTAAATGAAGTCATTATTGCCTTTCATATAACTCAGAGGAAACCCGAGGTGCTCCTCTGGGCTGTCAGCGCACGTAGCGGCCAGCGCGTGCGGAGCTCGGCGGCTCCTGCTGACAGGCAGTGCAAAGTGACTGCAGGCTTAGAAATGGTCCCTGCAAGTGGCCATCTCCTAATCCACGTGAGGTCAAAGCGTCTGCTGGGCTTCCTGTACTGTATTCAAGAGGAAACTAGAAGAAAATACTTGAATGATAAAGTAATAAGTCTTAATAGAAAGTTATTTTGTTACAAAGGAGTCAGGTGTCAGAAGAGCAGAGTAGTGCGTTTTTAGCACAGGTAATTCATATATTTAGCTTCCTAGTAAAATGATTTAATTTTCAAAAGCTGTGAAGAGAAATTCACACTGGTTTTGTGCCTGCTATAAGGGGTAATTTGAAGTAAGTATTCAACAAAGAAAATATATTAATAACAAATATCAGATTTCTACGTGAACATCTGAAAATACTGTAATTACAGTGCTGCTTCCTCCATTAAAAGAAACATTTCAAATATTTTACATACTCTTAGCTAGAAGTAGGTCTCTGTCCCCATTTAAGCTGCTGCATAAATAAGAATTGGCAAGTCTTTTGTAACGTTCTTGAATAAGGAATAATCACGCACATACCAGAGGAGTAAATACCCTGCCGATGAAAGGACAACCACCTTGGGTATTTGGGGT